GGGGCTAGCGCGGAGCAGCGCCGCCCCGCCGCAGGGAGGAAACCCGGCCTCTACTCCACCTTCGCCTGGCGCGGAACCAGCCTCGTCCGCCTCAGCGCTGTGGCGTGCGAGAGGGACCCCGCACCCCTCCGCACACACACCTAAGTTACCTCAGTGCCGTCTCGCGGCTGCTCCCATCCCCTCGCTCCCCGCCAGGCTCCCTCCGTCCTCTCTCCCTCACAGCAGGGTGAAGAAATCTGCTCCCATGCCTGCAGGCACCCTGCCAAGTACCACTCTTACATCGTTCCCGGTTTCCTTCCCCACCGTCCCAGCCCACCGCTGGGAGGATGCTCGCCCCGTACCTACTTGGCTCCTGTCAGTGTCCTCTTAGACCAATTAAATAGTTGGGAAAATTGTATTAATAAAAGATAGCACGTTTATCCAAACAACCTTGTCTGCTCCTTACTCACTGAGCTGCCTTGTTCATCAGCTTCTGACGGCTGCTGAGAAAAGGTGGGGGTGTCTCTTGGAGGTAGTGCTGGGGGCCGCGGTTCTTCATCAACGCTAGGTTAGGGGGGTTAACCTTCCGGCCCGCAGGCCTAATGCAGGCCGTGGAGCCATAACGACCAGCCCCCAGGCAGAGCCAGCCTTTGGGAAACCAGACTCGGGGAAGACGTGTCTTGCACTGACCTGACAGTTTCTGCTGTATCCTAAAAGCCCTAGGTCCTTTCAGGAGAGCAACATTTGGCCTGGCACAAGAGCTAGCACTTCTGTGTAGCATGCTCTGAAGTTCGCTACTGTTGACATGCATCTGTGGTGTTCGTTTTGTTTTTAAAACGACTTTCAATCAACGAAAAAAATAAAAAGTTTTGTATAAAAACACTGTCACCATATTTAGAAGCTCTCCTAGCCTTTTTTCAAGCCAAGCCCCAAAGAGCCAGTGGAGTCAAACTACAGCTTTAGCTGTATACCTTCTTAAATGTTAACTGCATTTTAAAAAGTCTTCAGTTTTTTAATGGCAACTTATGTAAGATACTCCGTGTGTGTGTGTGTGTGGGGGGGGGGG